ATCGGACAGTGTAGCCGTTCTGTTCTGTTCGGCTGTCGTTGGTTCAGAAAAAAGTAATTGGAGGCCAGCAGTCCTCACTAGACAAGCCCAGGCTACCGGTGAAGAACATCGGATAGTTATATCCCGTACGTTCCAGCCTGTTCTGTAAGCTAATCTGTCTGATGCCTGAGACTTGTGTTTCCTCTGCAAGTGAAGGCAGATCCAGGCAAAGATACTCACTATCTTGAAACCGACTGGAATCTTGTTCCCGTGAATGTTTCTGTTTGTGTGCTTGGTTAGGATTGTTTGTGTTGGGTTTGGTTACTTCAGTTGATTGAGTTCCCTTAATCAGGCATTGCCACTGACATATTAGAGTAAGCAAGTGCCGGACATGTTCAATTGTGTGCTATGGTTTGATGCGGTGAGGGTGATTGTGCTGGGTGGAGTTTTGGGTGGGGGTTTTTTTTTTTGAGAGAAGAGTAAGGACTTCGATGATCCTGTCGCTTGCCAGTTTGTAAGTGCTTGATTGCTTCACATCTCGTCTTCTGTGGAGCACTAGTTTCAATTTCCACGTGAATGATTGGTGGATAGCAAGAGTGTCAGTGGTGATGCTGATCGGGTAGGGATGATCCGACAGACAGTACAGTAATGTGGAGAGGCATTGGTGTCGCTGTTTCCTGGTAGTGTAGGAGTTGATTCATTAAGCATAGCATGGGGAGGAACAATAGAACAACAGTTGGGACATGCTATGGGAGGAACACATGGTAGTTGTTCCTGGTCAGATGTATTGACACTGAGGGTTCTATCAGCGTAGGATGGACAACACTCAACAGATATCTTCTCAGGGGAGATTAGATCAATCGCCGCAGAGCTTGTTCGTTTGGAATACCCACAATCATTGCCAGTGAGTTTGTCGACAACGTCATCACGAATGGCAGTGTCAATGGCATGAGCAATTTTGGATTTCAAAGCGAAGCGTTTTTCTGTTCGTGGAACTGTGCTTTGTGTAGTCATGGATAGGAGCGCTTGCCTATTGTTGGTGGTCTCATGCTATTGTTGTTGCGGTGTGTTGGAACCGAGGAATTGTTGTCGAGGTCATGGTTGCTTGCCGGTGTTGATTCCTTGCTGTCAGAGAGAGGAATGATGAGCTTGTCATGATTCGTCGCTGTTCTGGTTGCAATGTCAAGGAATCGTGGCTTGGGTGACATATTCATTGAAGTGGTCGTGATGCTCGATCGTCGAGTCGGCTGTTGCGTAGATGATAACTGCGGCCATACTAGAGCATCATGTGGATTTAAGTCATGATGTTGTTGTAGAGTTTTGACTCGACCTGTATTGACCAGTGATTTGCGGCGCTGCTTAGTTTGCATGGATCTGCGTTCTTTCTTGTCCCCTGGCGTGATGCTGGACACTTCCCAAGCTACTTGAGGAGTATTGTGATGTGCTAGGATGGGAGGCAATGGCAGCTGTTGAATTTTGTCATTGGATGTAACCCAGCGAGTTTTCGGTGGTGATTTTTTCCTTGGACGAGACCGTGACTGCTTACTGCGGTTTGCACGAGGTGGTGTTGGCAGCGTACAGTCCCCATCTATTGATGTCGTTCCTGTTGTTCCCATGGTTGATATGGACGTGTCGTCGTCTTCAAGTGTAGACTGCATTGTGACGTACTGCCGAAGCCAAAAGTCGTCATCGGCGAGAGCGGAGAAGCGATTGTTGTTGTTCTTGCTGTCTATCGTGGTATCCCTGCTTGTTGCAATCGTTTTCACGATGGTTGCCTTATCCTTTGAGTTTGCTTTGCGGCATTTGGGAATGTAAATAAACCCATCTGATTTGCCATTGTCGCGGTCATTTTGGAAGGACTTTGTTTCGAGACTACTTCCGTTGTGCTTTGAAAAAGACGATGGTGGGCTCGTTTGACTTGAAACCAAGACCATTCCTGTTGCAGCATGCATCGAACGTGAAGGTATCATGGTTGTCGTTGTCGTTGGAGATGATGGGCGACGGCGAAAAGGACCAGAAGGCGCCATGGTGGTCCTTTTCTTGACCTTTGTTTCTAAAAACGGCAAGTTTACTATAGAATAAAGAGTACTAATCTGGGGGTTAGTGTGCGTCCAAAATGGGTGATTCCAGTTCGCGCAGAGCTGAAATTGTTGTGTGTTCGAAAAAAAAATAAATGTCATGTTTAGAAGGATCGGACGCAGGCCTATTCACTAAAAATGATTCCATTCCACTGCGTGGAGCCGTCAAAGCTTCCACGCTGTGCAATGAAATGGAATGGAACATGACCTACCTTGTCTCCGCTTTCAACCAATCTTTCCCCTGCTAGAACACCTGTATTGTACGAAGGCATTGCCGACGAAGTATCTAGGAGAAACGTGGGCTTGGTTTTGGTTTTAAGAATCTAGAGCTACAACAGGGTTAAAACGAGTGAGGGGTTCATCGAGTGAGGGGTTCATCGAAGCGGTCCTGGAGTTCATGGGTGACAGCGCGGACACTCCTCTGAGGGAAAAATCCGTGGCCATAGTTTTGCATAGATGCATTTAGGCCGGTCAAATTGATACGGTATTGGATGTTTCTCGTCTCATCGTTGGACATTTGCAAGGCATGGGATGGATCCTTCCAAAAGCTGACGATCCACTCAAAATTTCCAGTGATGACCATTCTGGATGGTCTCGGTGCGGACGGTGAATTCAGGGCCGTTGAGCTGAAAATAAGTGATTTCCACGTATTCGAATTTGTTGCGTTTGTATGCCCACATGCGATTGCGTCGGATGCCTTCACCGGCTTGGATGTCTCCGTTCTTGGCCTTGTACACATGCCGAAAGGTGCTCGTCTTGACGCTGTGTTGTTTGGATTCACAGAGGGCATTCAAAAGCTTCGGAATGCTGTCGCGGAAAACAGGAGTGACAAGTTTCCAAGGCTTGCCCATGTGTCTTCGGTCATCTTGGTCGCTTTCTTGATGCCGTCCGGGATACGGTCCTTTCCCGAGTTGTTTGCGACTTGTTTGACATCTTGGAGCCAGGATTCGATGTCGTCAGGGCCGAGGTTGTGTGAACTAGTGCGGACTCCAATCATGTCGCATATCCACCGGTGTGCCTCTTCATGGTTAGACATGTTGGAAAAAAAAGCTTGCTTCTGTCGCAGAGGAGACTGAAACTGAAAGTGAGGTTGTGGCATGAATTTAGCCGCGTGGAACGGAGGGTGATGGCGTGATTGGAAGAATAGAAACCATACTGAAATGGAGGGCGTGTAGTGCCAGTAGCGTGAAGAATCCAGGGCTGAAACACACAGGAACCACGCTGAGCAACCACGCTGGACGGAGCGTGGCCAGCCACGGAGAGATCGTACGAAACTCGTAAAGTCGACGAGTAAAATGGATTACAGCATGTCATTAACAGGGATCGCATCTCCTTGACAAAGTACAAGTCAAGGAAACAGATCCGAGCAACAGCAAACACTACCATGGCTAGAGTCAACTTTCGCGGCATCAATCTCCATGAAGACCTTGAATTTTACGCGACCGAGGTGACTTCTATATCCAGGCTCCAACGGCGGTGAAAATGAAGTACAGTATTGGACCTAATACGGACAATTTCTTGGTGGTGTATTGGTATGATGCGAAGGATGAAATCGTGACGGCGTACCCAAAGTACTTTGACACTCGAGGGCTACTCCAAGAAGCCATGGTGGCTCTTCAGGGATTCCTTTCACTTCCTTATACTGTTAGCGATGGTACTTACGCTGATCCGATTGTCATTGGATAGAGAGTGTATGTATGCTTCGCTGTGAGCGCCTATCGACTTCAGGTAGGTCGTTTTTGTGAGGTTGGGTTCCTGCTGCCATTAGTTAAACAAAGTGCCATAAATTTGTGTTCGTCCCCAGCCACGAATAGTAGGTAGTAGTAGAACAGAGGAAGGTTCAAAACTTACAATTGGCTGCAAGAATTGTTCGCCATGAGCTCGTTGAGCGCGCGTTGGGTGTGGTTGCAGCCACGACCAAAGGCGGGCACCTAGCACCCGCCCACCTTTGAGCGTCAGTGCACTTGCAAAGCAGGGCCAGTGCCAAATTTTGTGTGATTGGACCGTTCGTGCAACCTCAAAGGTCCGCCACGACTTGATGTTGAGCGTTGGGTGTCGGTGCACATCCAAAGGTTCGCCACGACTTGATGTTGAGTGTTGGGTGTTGGTGCACGCCCAAAGACGGGCAGTCACAACACTGTCACCTTCGACGGGAATTGCAAAAGGCGGTGCTTCTCACATTGGCAGCACCGCCGTTGGTCAAAGGCGTGTCATAATTTCCCGTCCACATTTGGATTCCTCGTTGGCTGGAAACGTGAAGGTTACCTCTGTATCTGCCCTTTGCTTACCCGAGTGCCAACGAAGGCAGGTGTACTCCCAAGTACTTTGCAGCTTTGGGTGGAGTGTGGCTTCTTCGCTCCTGCTTGCTTTTCGCTCTTGCTTGTTTCCTGCTGGTGCTACAAGCACAATGAACCCATCTGCTCCCCCCGCCTAGAGTTGGTTGGTACTCCAGCAGGACTGGACCAGTGGATGGAAGTCTTGGGTGTTGACAATACTTGGTTTGAGGGCATCAGTGTCGATGATAGGAATAACTTTGTCACGACAGCATTGGCTCACTCCGTTTTCAAGGCAATTGTGAGAACTGCATATGACTATATGTATCTGGTATGCAGAAAGAGTTGGAGGCAAAGGCAATGACTCAACCAAACATACTCATTCCTTGGTTCGAAGTGAAGAAGAGAATTCTAGCACTTTCAATGGAAGTGGAATCCCTTCTTCAACAATTGAACTCAATGGCTGCCAACCACGTTGTGGGCTTAAAATGCATTGACGCACAGCTGCAATCCAAGTTGTTCCCCTCAGAACATTGCGAGGGAGCATTGCCAAAAGATGCAGTATTCGGGAGAGAGAGCGACAGGTGGTGCAAAGGCCATCGTCTCCTTGAGAATAGCCTTGGGGCCAAGGTGGTGGCCATTCATGGTCAAGTTTTGCTTTTGCCGACATCTCTCACATTTCAACACGATTCTTCTTGAAGCCAAAAGAAAGGGATTGTCCGACGGAAATGAGGACTTTGATGGTATAACCCCCTATCGCTTTTTGGCAGCAGCGACAAACTTATCCTTTGCCTGTACCCAGACTTACGGCATTCTTGTAAAATAACGAAATTTTATTTTAAAGGCTACACCTCGTCAGACAATCCGCTGAACGGTGCCGTGACGAACCCATATACCTCAGGCGCACAAGGGCGCCCACTTAGGATGGGCCTAGTGTAAGCCCCCCACCGGAGAAATTGAACAAAAGTCCGGAGGGTGCTGTACAACTAACTATCTAGGCGAGGCTAAATCACCCGCTATTGCTATGGGAATCCCACATCGGCGCATAGTTACCCTGATTGGGAAGGCTGCTCACGTGCATGCTCATCCCTCATTGCTTTGTCAACAACTGGAAGCCAATTAGCCAGCCATGCTTTGATATCTCCCGGCCCTTTGGCCATCTGTTCCTCCAGGGGTCGTTTGAAGATGGTATCAAGGAGATGCTCTGGGAGCAGATCCGCTTTTTCATACAAGAGCTCAACCTCTCGTTGGAGCTGTTCGTGTTTCTTAAGCCATTTCTGTTCCTGATCCCGGCCGTGCCTGGCGGCATTGCGTTCTTCCCAGAGATTCCACCACTGCTGGATCAGAACAGAAGCCAGATTGGTGACCCAAAGCTGCCCGGTTTTGGTGGTCTCCTTGGAGCCGACCCGATGCAAATAGGCATCTTGGTGCTTGGCCCAATGCTTGGACGAACGTCCTCTCAGGAAATTATCCCAACCAATGAGATTTTGAGTGTCAACAAGATCTCTATACCGTTCCGGGTAATGCCACGGGTGGAGGAATCGATCTTCAAAGTGATATTGAAGCCCATCAAGAACAATTTCCAGGAGGAAGGGGTCTGTGGAGTCTTTGCGCAACTTTGTACTGATCGCTCATTGCATGGTCCCTCGCCACAAATCCACGTCAACATGCGGGCATCTGTAAACATGGGTCTCAGTCTCATAATCACCGCCACAACGGGGACAGTGGTGATCATACTTGGGGTCATCTCGGTGTATTCGTTCCCCAACTGGCAACAATTGAAAGAGAAACTTCACAATTGTCGGTTTGTGGATTTCATGACGGTTGACAGCACGACCATGGGCTGTCCAATCAACCAGTGCCAGTGTGTCCTCGTCCCAATCTGGATTAAGTTTGACAATGTGGTCGAACAATGGCTGGTCGTTCCTGAGATGCCGCAGTGTTCTGGGTAGTTTGTAGGTGCATGTTCCTTTGGGAAGGTGCAGCTGGGCCAAGTTGGCCGGAAATCGAAGTACCTTGGAGTGATCTTTTGTCATGTGTCTATTCATGTAGCTGCCTGCCAGTTTGTCGGCTCTGCAATTCAGTTGAGCCTTCAAAGGCAGTGTTTCAATTGCCCTGTGCTTGTCTTGGTGTGATTTGATGTGCTCCATCTTGGGCACTGTGATGGCAGCTCGAAACGAATCCACGATCTGCTGTAAGACATCCCAGTCGGAGTCCAGGGAATCATTGGGGTACCATCCCTCGTAGTCCAGACAGCCGGCACACTTGTTGGTAACAGATTCATTGTCACACAAGTGCACATAATCTTTCATGCTGGTTCGGTCATAGAACTCCAGCAGTCTCCTCAGAAGGCAAGTAGGGGAAAGTATGCCATAAGCCTCTGCCCTGTAGGATGTCGGGACAAGACCAAGAACGGGACCAGAGCATCGAAGCACAATCTGACCATGATTGTCGGCCAGAACCCAAGCAAAACTCGCCTTTCCGGCGTCAATGTCTGCAGCCCCATCACTTGCCACCCAGAAGGGCATGGCTGCGACAATCTGCAGGACGGAGTAAGCGTCCACCATCCATTCAAGCTCGTCATAAAGAGCTGTTTCCCAAGGCTCCAAAGTGGCAAGGAAATCCTCAAATGTTGTTGGTGTGGGTGGTAGTGGACGAGCAGGAATGCCTGCTGTGAAACCACTACCAACGACCACTGTCTCACGCTTGTTGAAGAGGGTCAGGTCCAGGACTCGCCGCTTTCCACATCTAAGAAGCGCATAATGGGGTAGCGCGAAAACAGCGAGGTCGGTTACAAAATTGCCAGGTCAGTCGATGGTAAGGTTACCAATCGGTAACTGACCTCGCGCTTATGTATGGTGGGTACAAAAGAACACCGAGGAATGATCTTCCCATTTTGTGAGGTCAGCTGTGCATATTCAAGAACCTCTTATCCTACTAATTGAAACGATCGACTCAGGCATATACAAGATGCAATTGCAGCACAAGTCATTGCGTAACGGTTACAGAATGTGAACTAAGTGTTCACTTCCTCTACCGAATTCCGTCCCCTTTCTATACATGGCTACAAGTTGATGCACTTTGTGATGCTAATTACAGAAGGGCAGTTGTAGGCTATTCCCCAAGCCCCGGAATCCAAAACAGCTCAGCCATTCCTTCCCAAATGAAGAGTCCTAGGTTACTAAATACTATAAGTAGGGGTTTCCAAAATGGAGAAAAGAGTACACAATGTTGGATATTATTGGGGCTAAATTCGTTTGGTACTACTAATAACAGATAGTGGAGGTAAGCGAACAATACATAATGTTCGTAGTAAAAGGGAGAAACAGGTCACTCATATGTAACCAACTGTAACGTAAGGGCATCCATAGGTCCGAAAAAAGGGTCCAAATGATTCCAAAAAGGACGGCTGGGGCAACCAAACAAGGACCCATAGGTAACAAAGTCGTCTTGGAAGCCCTGCTAAAAGGGGAGAAATAAATTGAAGAAAGTGGAGAAGCCACCAAAAGCCTGGTAGGACCCCACCAAATGAGGGGTCCTAGGTTGCCAAGGGCAACCTAATCATCAATCTCATCAAG